TGATAACACTTTCCTTTATTACATTCAAATAGTTGACTAAATGCAGAATTTCTTTATATTTTACCACAATACAAATGTTGTTGTGTTATGTTAGTTACATTATGTTTGTAAAATTGTGTTCAGTTATTTTTCTAACAGTAACCTTTGTTGCTGTATCTAAAACAAATTTTGTATTAAAAAATGAAAGTTCACACTATGGGAACTGCTGATCTGAGAAAATATTAAATGTCTTTTAGGATTCCTTGAGATACTTTTGATTATAAGACTTTGAAAAATATTGCAATATCATTGTAAATAGTTTTTGAAATAATTTGTTGACAATATTTGCAGTGATGAAAAATATACAGAATGATTCTAAAAGCCAGTCGGTTGTCATTGAGTTGAATGGTGCATCCATGCCACTTCTACAAAAGGCTGAGAATCCTTCTGACGTTTCACTTCCTGTGCCAGTGACAATCATCAATGAAGTTCCAGAAAATTATACTGTTGCCCACTCCAATACAGAAGAAGAAGAAAAAATGTTTTCCAAAATAGAAACTAATGAAAATATTCCAGTTAAATTGATTGATCTAGTTAAATTGATTAACATAAATAAAAATATTGAATCTGTCAGTAAGGAATGTGTAGGAACATCTTCCTATTCATCTAAACATTTGTCACAAGAATCTTCTACAGAAATTTTTTTGGACCAAACTGAAAAACAGCATTCTGAGTCTGTAATATATACTTTTCCAAATGAAAAACAGAACAAGAAAAATGCAGTGCAAAAAAATATCTCCCAAAATTGCATTGATTCAGATAAACCCAATGGTCAAGAGATTGCTTATAACTTTAAACTATTGAACAAAGTTAATGGCATACCTGACAAAGCAAGATCATTGAATGAAAATAATATCAGTGATGAACATAATAAATCTTGGATTTTAGTGGGGGTTTCTTTTTGGATTAGGTTTGTAATCTTATTTCTTTGGAATCCATTGGATGTTAGTACATTGGTGAGAGTGTGTAGTTCGGTTTTTAGGTGTTGTTGGTCAGCTAAGCGTTTTGTTCTGGAGATGAGTGTCTTGGCTACAGAGTTGATCTGTGCTGGGTGGTGGTGTGAGAGAGCGTACAGATAGCGGTTTGTGTGTGTTTTCTTCTGGTAGATGGTGTGTCATAGGGAGCCATTGGATTTCTTGTAGACTAAGACATCCAGGAAGGGAAGTTGGTTGTTAGCTTCTGTTTCCATGGTGAACTGTATTTTGGGGTGTAGGCTGTTGAGGTGTGTGAGGAAGTTGTCCAGTTTTTCTTTCGCATGTGGCCAGATTATGAAGGTGTCGTCTACGTATCTGAGCCAGCCAATGGCTCCCTAGGACACACCATCTACCAGAAGAAAACACATAGAAACCGCTATCTGCACGCTCTCTCACACCACCACCTAATCTAAAATCCAAGACGAAGAACAAGAAAACGGCAAAGCCCTCCTCCCATACATAAAAGGCACCACAGACAGAATCAGTAAGATCCTCCATAAACACAACATCAAAACAGCATTCTGCACAAACAGAAAAATATCCACCATCCTTAGAAACCCCAAAGATAAAATTGAATTAGAAAATCAAGGAGTATACGAAATCCCATGCACCACTTGTCCCACCACATACATCGGACAAACCAACAGAAGAATAAGTGCACGCATTGAAGAACATAAGAACTCGGTCAAAAAAGAGGAACCAACATCTTCCCTGGTCCAACACCTTAAAGCCACAGGACATGAAATTGACTTTAAAAATACCAGAACCATTGCCCAAAGTGAACATTTTAATAACAGAATAATCAGAGAAGCCATCGAGATAGAAAAACGCCCACACAGCATGAACAAGCGAGATGATACCTCCCGCCTACCAGCCATTTGGAAACCCGCCCTTATTGACAAACGACTCCCTAACACAAAAAATGATACCAGACCCACACTCACAAAAACCACACAGGATGTCACCACCACACATCCACGCAAAAAGCAAACCCAAAGCCACACCGATGATGAGGCACGACCACAAACTAGAAGCCAGACCAGAGCTGCATCATTAGCCACTTTAAAGCCCTCCAATCCATACATGAAGCAAACTGACACCCTCCATGAAAATGAGGCATGACCACAAACGCGAAGCCAAAAAATAGCAAGGCAGCCCAAATCTTAAACCCCTCTGCAACTCAGACTAACCTGAGCACAACCAAACAGAACACTCCCCCAGCCAATCAGAGCACAGCCAACCCCCCAGCCAATCAGAGCACAGCCAAACCCCCAGCCAATCAGAGCACAGCCACGCCCCTAACCAATCAGAACACACCTCCACCCAATCAGAACACAGCCAAGCTCCCACCCAATCAGTTCATACCCCCACTGGCAGTTAAAAGGAAGAAACAGCTAAGACCACACATTGCTGCTCGAAGCACGAAGCTGAAAACACCAGCCTGAAGATGACGAATGGGACTTCGTTGAAACGTCGCCAAGACACTTCCAATTTTACGTGGGAGAAAACCCAAACAACCAAAGACCTACATACAAACACCCGCGAAAATCTCAGAAAACATATATATATATATCCAATTATTTTAAAAATGTGAATCCCAGGCACATTCATATTAAGAGTATAAAAACTTTGAACACCGGGATAAATATAAAACAGCTGTTTATTGTTAAAAACAACCATTTGTTATACAAACATCTGTCTGCTACCTAAGCTTTTGTCGGTCCCCTGCCAACATCACCAGAGTAAAAGTTTGGAATTTGGAGAGTCCAAACTCATTGTTTTTGCACTCTACTCATTGAGAGCATGATTGGCCCATCTGCCCTAAACGACCATAACTGCTCTGAATGTCTCGCACCCACTTGTACGTGTTTTGATCCTACCACCCTTTCTCCTCTCATTACTCCCTTCCTTGTCTGTTCCACTTTGCTCACCACAGCTTCTGGAGGAACTAAACTCAGTATTTCCGGACATTCAGTTTACAGCAGAGGAGGAAGCCAATGGCATGTTGGCATTCCTGGATGAACTGGTCAGTCGCCAAACCAAAGGCGCCCTCCACACAGTTGTTTATCGAAAAATGACCCACACAGACAGGATATTACATTATAGGAGTAACCTCCCAGTATCACATAAGATCAGTTGCATCCGGACGCTATTCAGGCTGATAAATACACATGTAACACAAGGAAAGCTAAAGGTAAAGAATGGACCCATCTCTACCGGATATGCAGATACAACGATTACCACAGATTTCATTTGGGAGTACAGTAGACATCAAGAACACCATAGAATGCAAGGCAGACCAACAGCCACAACCTGGACCACGATACCATATATTAATGGTGTATCACAGGTGACAGCACGAATACTGACACCACATAACATCAAAGTGGGACACCAGACAGATCAGACCCTTCATGCCAAGGTGATGCGCCCTAAGGAACCACTGCCTGAGGAGGAAAGATCATTGGTGGTTTACAGGGTCAAATGCAAGGACTGCCAATGCAGTTATATTGGAGAAACGGCCAAGTGCCACAAGCTGGCCATCAAAAGGCATGAGCAACACTTGCAGATATGGACACATATGGCCAACAACAACCATTCATTTGATTTCATAGAAGTGGAAGTTATTGCCCAAGATACCTCCAAGGGAGGCCGATTGCTTAAGGAAGCCTGGCTGTCAGATGACCATGCAATTAATCACCATATAGACCTATTGCCAGCTTACCAAGCACTAAGGAGGCATGAACAACAATGGAAAGCACTGCTGACACATAGAAAACAAGGAGCAAAAAAGGCCAAAGCCACTCACCTACAGGACCACACACAAGCACAAAGAATGAAAAGAGGAAGATACCGATGCAACCTGCCCAAGAGCTAGGAGAGGGACAACGGATTGATGAGGATAGTGCGATACAAAGGACGCCGATAAATCAAGACACACAATGGTCCATGAGAACCAGGAGACGGGGTCCGGCAGCAACTTCCGACAGCCAGGCATGAGTGGAGTGAGGGGGGGAGCATCATGATCCACATGCACTCCAATGGATAGAGTGCAATTGGCAAAGAAAAGAGCAATTTGGGCAAACAGAGTGAAGCAGGTAAGGAAAAGACAACAGGCAAGCATAGCGCGCACGCTGATGTGGCCTGCCTGAAAGCCAGGAGAAGAAGGACAGATTGGCAAGGAGGGGAGAGGGAATTGGGAGATGATCCAGCAACAATGCCAACTCCAAGCAGCCAAATGTGAGTGGGATGGGTGGAAGGGGCAGGGATGAAAGGAGAAGGGGCACCAAAATCAGCATGCACACCTACGGATAAGATGCATGCAGCTGTATAGGTTAACTGGGGTGAGCAAAGTGGAGCAGATAAGGAAGGGAGTAATGGGAGGAGAAAGGGTGGTAGGATCAAAACGTGTACAAGTGGGTGCGACACATTCAGAGCAGTTATGGTCGTTTAGGGCAGATGGGCCAATCTCTCAATGAGTAGAGTGCAAAAACAACGAGGTTTATAAGCAGGTTCTCCAAACTCCAAGCTTTTACTCTGATGATGTCAGCAGGGGACCGACGAAATCTCAGGTAGCAGACAGATGTTTGTATAACAAACGGTTGTTTTTAACAATAAACAGCTGTTTTTATATTTATCCTGGTGTTCAAAGTTTTTGCATATGTTGCATGATAATTATTACCTCTTTGAGGACAGGATTAATCTGATATGCTATCTATAATCATAGCAGCAAATCTTAAACATAGGAAGCTGTTATGGCTGTTGCATAATACCAAATAGCATTTATAGAACTGATGGTAACATAGTACTGTTTCTTGGTAATATGCAAGTTTTATAGTGTTATAGTGGTTAATAGGTCATTGGAAATAATGGTTGTTATAAAAAAGTTAATTATATCTTTGGTAAAAACAACAAACAAGTCCACTCCTGATCTTACAGGAAATGGTGCCTTATTCAAAACTGCTTTTACCTAACAAATATTTTTACCTTTCGAAGCTTGTCTTTTCCTCCTGTATTTTGAATGGCTTCCATTAATGCACTATGTAGTGATGTATCTTTTGGAACTGACTTCTGGATGACTGGTTTAAACTTCTTCTTTGCCCCAAAAATATTGTAGATGTTGTCCTCTATTCTGTTAGAACACAGTTTATTCTCTGCATTGTCAAGTTTCTCATCTTTTTTTAAAGTTGTTTGGTTAACATTCACTGCTGATGGTATATTGCTTGATTTCACATGGGAGCTAAATATTGTGGGAGATGAATCAATATTAGGTTTGCTAAGAAAAAAGGGAGAACTAACCTGATCAGATGGCTTTTTTATTACTACAAAAGTCATTTCCCTATCTGTTACATCTTGTACTAAATCACTGATGAGTTCCTCTTCTGTGAGGTTGTTTTTGTTAGAGGTTATTATAGTAAATGTTCCACTAATGCTATTAGTAGATTTGTTTTGTTTTGATGTTTTGATATTTGATACCCTAGAATCAGCACAAGATGGACCAGTATTTGACACATTTTTACTACAACTGAAGGTAGTTGAATACAGTTCTTTTGTTTTTGCTGACTCTGTTTCCACAGGACAGGATTTAGCTGCAACAGTACATCCTTTAGAAAATGGTTCCATTTCAGTTTCATTCCTTTCATTTTATATAGCTCTTCATACTGCTTTCCTTGGATAGTTTTAAACTGGGTCAGATCATTGCTATTGGCAACAGTTGTGGTTAAATAATCATTAGATGATTTTCTTTGGGGCATCTGAAACATCAAATCCTTCCTATTGATCATTGATGTTAAGACAGTTTTCCCTGAAAACTGTGAATTATTACTAGGGAGCTTTGTTTCATTTGGTCCAACAATATTTTCAGCACTGGCACTGGAATCAACTATTAGCAAAGTTCCTGTTTTCAGACTCTTAATACAATCAGGTTGAGTTCTGGATGTTTTATTAGGTTGTTGGGCATTGTGATCTCTACTTCAACAGAATGGTCTATTGGTAATTGTTCAGTTTGCTTTTCCATAGAATTTGACCTTTTATATTCTTTACCTCTGCCAAAAAGAGTTTCTTTTGATGTTGCATTTACTATAATTTTTCTAGCACCGTTACTATTTGGAGTCACTAGGTTACCTAACTCATCTATTTTAATGGCACCAGTGTAAAGAGATTCATTTCTATCAAAATCTCTTATTCTGGGTTTGGGAGGAACCACTTTAAAAGTTGTCAGGCCAGTTTTGGGGTGATAGTTTTTAATTCTGTTGTTAATACAATGACGCCATGGAGATTGTATTGAGTCAGATTCTTTCTCATCAGGGTTTTTTGCTGATGCACCTTTCAATTCTAGATGAAATTTATTATGTTCATCACTGATATTATTTTCATTCAATGATCTTGCTTTGTCAGGTATGCCATTAACTTTGTTCAATAGTTTAAAGTTATAAGCAATCTCTTGACCATTGGGTTTATCTGAATCAATGCAATTTTGGGAGATATTTTTTTGCACTGCATTTTTCTTGTTCTGTTTTTCATTTGGAAAAGTATATATTACAGACTCAGAATGCTGTTTTTCAGTTTGGTCCAAAAAAATTTCTGTAGAAGATTCTTGTGACAAATGTTTAGATGAATAGGAAGATGTTCCTACACATTCCTTACTGACAGATTCAATATTTTTATTTATGTTAATCAATTTAACTAGATCAATCAATTTAACTGGAATATTTTCATTAGTTTCTATTTTGGAAAACATTTTTTCTTCTTCTTCTGTATTGGAGTGGGCAACAGTATAATTTTCTGGAACTTCATTGATGATTGTCACTGGCACAGGAAGTGAAACGTCAGAAGGATTCTCAGCCTTTTGTAGAAGTGGCATGGATGCACCATTCAACTCAATGACAACCGACTGGCTTTTAGAATCATTCTGTATATTTTTCATCACTGCAAATATTGTCAACAAATTATTTCAAAAACTATTTACAATGATATTGCAATATTTTTCAAAGTCTTATAATCAAAAGTATCTCAAGGAATCCTAAAAGACATTTAATATTTTCTCAGATCAGCAGTTCCCATAGTGTGAACTTTCATTTTTTAATACAAAATTTGTTTTAGATACAGCAACAAAGGTTACTGTTAGAAAAATAACTGAACACAATTTTACAAACATAATGTAACTAACATAACACAACAACATTTGTATTGTGGTAAAATATAAAGAAATTCTGCATTTAGTCAATTATTTGAATGTAATAAAGGAAAGTGTTATCAGCACAGTTTATTTCCATAATGTTACTTCAGGGCAAGACTCAAAAAAAACCAAAAACAGAATATAGTTCTCAAGAAAGCAAAGTGTATTTGTGTGTGTGTCCAGATCTATGTATGTATGTATGTATATATGCATGCATGTATGCATGTACATATGGAGGTGTGTATGTATGTGTAGATACATATGTATATGTGTATATTTATATGTATATATACATATAATTCACATATATACATAATTCACACACATATATATACACATATACATATACATATGTGTGTGTATATATATACATATATGAATTCAATAATTTATCTTAGCTGAATACCACACAATGACAATAGACTTTTCTATAATTTTTCATTGTACAGTAGCAGTTTGACTTTTTAATGCTATTATGTTTCTTCTGTGATGGAATACTCAGTCTTCCAACAATATATCTAAATTACACTTTTTAGAAATAAATTATCTTACTCTATGCCTATAAATATAATAATCAGTAGTATACTGCCACATTTTAAAGATCTGGCTCCGTTGGCTCCATCACTGGTACTTATAACATTCAAAGTTATAATGGCACTGAAAAAAGTGACTTATGACTGGTTTTCATACTTATGACCATTGTTACATCCCATGATCACAAAATATAATTATCATGTGATATTTTGTAACCTTCTGTAACCTTCCCAGACAGTGTCTGACAAGCAAAGTCAATAGAGGAAGCCAGATTTACTTAATGACTATTGCAAGAAATGTTGTAAAATGAGGCAAAATTCACTTAAAACTTTCTTGCTTAGCAACAAAAATTTTGGGCTCAATTGTGGTTATAAGTCATAGACTACCTGTATTCTCTTCTTTATCCATGATTTCCTAACACAGCTAAAAATATTGGAAATAGAGTTCAGCAAGAAAATCTAAGATATGTGGTGTCTTATTGGTTTCCTTCTAGTACTAACTGTCTGAAAAACAGAGAAGAGAAAAAGGTTACCCAAAAAATCATTTGTAGATCCATTGTAGTTGTGATATCATTGCTTGTGGCATGCTTGTATTCCTGCTCAAAATCAGCTTGTATATTTTTGCAGCAAAAGCTTTTTTAAATGGCTGACAGAAAACCTACAAAGATTGAAACAGCAGTTGACCATATTTCAGCTCACAGGGGAGGATAAAGATTTATTACATCAAACTAAGGAAGCAATAAAGCAAAAAAGAAGAAAGGAAACTGTTTTCCATAGAACATAGAATAATAGGGTTGTAAGGGACCTTGGTGGTCTTCTAGTCAACCTTCTGTTCAAACAGGGGACCCATTTCAGACAATATTTTCTTAAAAATCTCCAGTAATGGAGCATCTACAACTTCCAGAGGCAAACTGATTTCATAAGCTGATTCTGCAGGTAATTGATTAATCATTCTCATAGGAAATTTCTCTTCATTCCCACATTGGATCTCTCTTTAATGATCTTCCACCTGTTACTTCTTGTCCTGTTCTCAGGAATTTTGGAGAATAAGTTGAAACCTTCTTCCCTGTGATAGCTCTTCAAATACTGGAAGACTGCTATCATATAATCCCTAGACCTTCTCTTTGTTAGGCTAGACCAGGAGTAGGGAACCTTGGCTCTTTTATGACTTGTGGACTTCAACTCCCAGAATTGCTGAGTCAGCATGGCTGGTTCAGGAATTCTGGTATTGAAGTCCACAAGTCATAAAACAGCCAAGGGTCTCTACCTCTGGGCTAGACATACTTAGTGTCAAGGATGCTACATGCCTTTGCATTTCAACATGCCTTTAAAGTAAGGGGAGAGGAGTTACTTTCAAGTGGATTAGATGGAGAAATGAAACTTCTATGATTCCACTGAAGACCATGAGAACCTGAAATCTTTTCATGGACACCATAACAGGTGTGGATTCGAGGCAGATGGTTCCAATAACAAAATGAGCTCGTTTATATGGACTATGTAAGAAATTGGGATTTTGGCTGGAAAAATTATTGTTTAAATCTATGATCTGGTGTTGGAACCTCAGAGTTTTGTTTTGACATTACCATGCAGTGCATTTAATAACAGTAAGATTTTTGGAAATGGAATGAACCTGGAATTTATTTGGATTCTTGAGCTGGATGTTGACATTAAACCAGTGGTTCTCAACCTTTTTAATGCCGCGACCCCCCAACCGGTCGTAAGTCAAGGGCTACTCAACCGGTCATAAGTCGAGGACTATTTAACTGGTGCAGCACCGATTGCAGAATGGGACTTTTGGTGGGCTCAGCAGGGCAGAGACAGCCTGGACAATTCCTATTGGCTTTTGAAAGCCAATAGAATTAGACTCTATTCAAGAGAGTCTATTCTATTGGCTTTCAAAAGCCAATAGAATAAAAGGGAGTAGCACAGTTAAGGAAAAGGGGGGAAAATGGCAGACTGCGTTGTTTGGCAACCCCTGTGAAATGGTCGTTCGACCCCAAATGAGGTCCCAACCCACAGGTTGAGAACCACTGCAATAGAATAAAAGGGAGTAGCACAGCTAAGGAAAAGGGGAAAAAATGGTGGGCTGCATTGTTTGGCGACCCCCGTGAAATGGTCGTTTGACCCCAAATGGGGTCCCGACCCACAGGTTGAGAACCATTGCATTAAACTAATTCTCTTTAGCAGCCTATCTGGGTTTTCCTCCCAGGAATGCTGGGATATAGTGAGACTTGCAATGGACAAGAAAACAGATGGAGGGGGACAACATGGGATAGTTCCCCTCTGTGGTAGTCAGCTTTAATCCAAATGGGAGAGGCAGACTTATCAACCCAGGCTCATCTGAAACAGAAAGCGGAATCGATAGAGCCACCACTTACTGCTGGAGGAGGGAAGCACATGGAAGCTCCTTGTCCAGCACCAAGAACTACATGGATGAGTGGCCTCAGGAAAGCAGCATAAGCTGAATTTCATCTGATTTCATCAGAAGCTTGACCAATGAAGGCAAATAAGAGGGCAGCAGAAGCAGGAGAGCCAGAGAGAGTGGAGGCTTCTTGTGTCTATTCATAGCCCTTCCATGGAGCAATTGAGAGAGAAGTTCAGGCAATTGGAGGTTCGAGGAGCTGCCCCACTGAAGTGGTCGGTTGTGGTCCCCGCTCACCAGCTTGCTACACCATCACCACCCCACCAACAGCCAGTAGCTTTGGGCTAGTCTGGGATGAAAGCAAGAGAGATTGGCACCCCAGTAACTCTTAGCCTAACAAGTCTTGGGACACCACTGGCCATTGGACAGCTGAAAGGAGAGGAGCTCAGGCAGCACAACCAGGTGCTGACTTATAACCCAGAAGGTGATGTGGAAGGATCAATAGCCTCCTCATTTTAAAGTCATGTTTGACAGCTGACCAGAGAAGTTGGGTTATTTTCTGACCCAGGTGGGGAATTACTTAGAAAGATATGGGATCACCCATGGGATCACCCCTCTCACCTGTCATTGCCAACCTCTACATGGAACACTTTGAAACCCAAGCTCTAGAAAAATCGGATCACAAACCCAAAATCTGGCTCAGATACGTAGATGACACCTTCATAATCTGGCCACATGGGAAAGAAAAACTGGATAACTTCCTCACACACCTCAACAGCCTACACCCCAAAATACAGTTCACCATGGAAACAGAAGCTAACAACCAACTTCCCTTCCTGGATGTCTTAGTCTACAAGAAATCCAATGGCTCCCTAGGACACACCATCTACCAGAAGAAAACACACACAAACCGCTATCTGCACGCTCTCTCACACCACCACCCAGCACAGATCAACTACATAGCCAAGACACTCATCTCCAGAACAAAACGCTTAGCTGACGAACAACACCTAAAACCCGAACTACACACTCTCACCAATGTACTAACATCCAATGGATTCCATAGAAATAAGATTACAAACCTAATCCAAAAAGAAACCCCCACTAAAATCCAAGACAAAGAACAAGAAAACGGCAAAGCCCTCCTCCCATACATAAAAGGCACCACAGACAGAATCAGTAAGATCCTCCATAAACACAACATCAAAACAGCATTCTGCACAAACAGAAAAATATCCACCATCCTTAGAAACCCCAAAGATAAAATTGAATTAGAAAATCAAGGAGTATACGAAATCCCATGCACCACTTGTCCCACCACATACATCGGACAAACCAACAGAAGAATAAGTGCACGCATTGAAGAACATAAGAACTCAGTCAAAAAAGAGGAACCAACATCTTCCCTGGTCCAACACCTTAAAGCCACAGGACATGAAATTGACTTTAAAAATACCAGAACCATTGCCAAAAGTGAACATTTTAATAACAGAATAATCAGAGAAGCCATCGAGATAGAAAAACGCCCACACAGCATGAACAAGCGAGATGATACCTCCCGCCTACCAGCCATTTGGAAACCCGCCCTTATTGACAAACGACTCCCTAACACAAAAAATGATACCAGACCCACACTCACAAAAACCACACAGGATGTCACCACCACACATCCACGCAAAAAGCAAACCCAAAGCCACACCGATGATGAGGCACGACCACAAACCAGAAGCCAGACCACAGCTGCATCATTAGCCAATTTAAACCCCTCCAATCCATACATGAAGCAAACTGACACCCTCCATGAAGAGGAGGCACGACCACGAACGCGAAGCCAAAAAATAGCAAGGCAGACC